CAAGATCACTGAGTCTGAAATGAATGTTCATGCTATTTCAAATATTCAAAAACAGATCATGCCAGACAAATCTTATTTCATTCTTTGACAATGTGACAAAATTAGTGGACCAGAGAAATTCTATGGTTATAATTTACTTGGACTTCAGTAAAGCATTTGATAAAGTAGACCACAACCTACTACTTTACAGATAGAAACCAATTTTGCTTAAAAATAGGTTTCTCCATGGATTTAGTCCTAAATTTCACAGCCATTGCTGCAACATTATTTTGAAATTAAAGCCATGAAGATACTAATTAAGGATAGGAGGTCACTTATATTGTCTTCTGTAGTCATCCAACCACCAGTGTGCTATTGCAACTGTAAAGAGCATAAGCTTCATATCACTTCAACAGTGACTGGATGATGCCAAATGACATTAGAAATCTGACCTGGGCTAGTTAGAAGCAAGTTGTTTTTTTGTTTTTTGTTTTTTTTTACTTTGGAGTGAGTTTAGTTTTCAGTTCAACAAAGACACAACTTTTTCCTTTGCTCTGATCCTCTCCAGTTTAAAAACGATCTTTAACACATTGCAGTTGAGGAAAAAGTTAAAATATCTTTAATGAAATCACAATTTTGTGGTGGGAAAGAGTGAAGAGTGTATATAGCATATATTTCCTGCTAGCAGTTGTCTGGATTATTCTGCCCAGTTTTAGTAATCCTAATTATGTCCAAATCATAGCAAATGGGACATTTTAAAAAAACTAATAATAGTACTAATAATAATGTTTTGTTTTAATATAATATCTATTCAGAGTATTTAATTATTTATTTTGATGTTGGTATTAGCAAGAGTACTAATAGGAACAAATTACAAAAAAACAGAAATCTCTTGTTTTGGGAGTAATTCAAATACTAATTATACCAATCCATTCAACCATAAAATTAACTATAAAGGCATAAACCATCTGGTTAGCTTTAAACATGTTCCAATTTTGTTACTCAGTTATTCAAGCTATTTTATAATGTATAAGTTATTATATATAAATAAATTGGAATTAAACATATATCTAAAATCTTTTAGTTTCATATTATTAAAACCAAATTCTATGAGATTCTTAATGTACAGCAAAACCAATTTCATGATATTTTATCCTCAACTTACAACCATAATAAAATCCCACATTTCTGTTATTAAGCAAGGGCGTTGTAAAGTTTTGCCCCATTTTATGACCTTTTTTGTGACAGTTACGCGAATCATTATAGTTATTAAGTGAATCATGCAGTCATTAAGCAAATCTGTCTTTCCCTATTGACTTTGCTTGTTAGAAGCTGGTAGAGAAGGTTAGAAATGGTGATCACATAACCTTGAGATAGTGCAACAGTCATAAATACATGCTACTTGCCAAGGGCTCTAATTTTGATCATGTGATTATGAGGATGCTACAACAAACATTAGTATGAAAATCAGTCATATCACTTTTTTCAATGCCATAGTTACTTCAAACAGTCAGTGAATGAATGATTGTAAATCAAAGACTACCTGTATATTAGTTAAACGGGTTATTACAAATAGTATAACCCATATCAAAACTGCAACAAGCCGGGGAAGTTATGAATTCTCCTGTACCCCTTACCCCTTTGCTGACATTTTGTATTGTCTAGATTTCTGCATCTGAGGTCTGGCAGCCTTCATATACATGGCTAGGTAAAAGTCATAGTTTATGACTACAACCTCTAGAGATAACATTTTAAAAAAATAATAAACTTGAATAGAGAAGTTAGTTTTGAAATCCAAAACTATTATAAACCTCAATTGTAAATAGGACAAGTAATATTTTTATGTTAGTTAAATATTAAAAGTGCAGCAATAGTACACCAAAAATAATAACAAACCAAACAATTACAACTCGGGCAAGACAAATATATTCACTTTAAGCTTTAGCAAAATACTTCAACACTGAAAAATTACCTTGATCCCCTTGTAAGCAGCAAATAAAGCCAAGTAAGAAACTTAGTATAGTTCAGAAAAACAGAATGAGACCATTAGAGTAATTCATGCACAAGCTTCTTTTGAACTGACTGTTCATTCCTTGTAACACACAGCCATGCTATTGAAGCATGCCAGCAAAAACTAAAACAAAAATTAAAAGAACGCACCAATCCATAAACTCAGAAAGGTCATACCCTGACATCTTGGGGCAAAGTCTGCACTAAGGATCCAATAGGGCAGGGATAAGGGAAAAGGAAAAGGGAAAAAAAGAAAAGGAAAAGAAAGGAAGCTTCATCAATGCTTCCCATATACTTTTAGTATATTGCATAAATAATAAAGTTTATAGAAATGATTCCAAATGTATCAAAATTTGCTTTCTCTTCTAAAATCATTTCACATATTAGATAGAGGGAAACCTAAACAGGCAGTAGGCAACGTAATGAAGCAAATCATAACTCATGGAGAATATATGAAACAAGCATGTTCAAACATACATTTGCCACAACTGTTTTTGAGAAATTCAGGAGAATGCTTAAGAAATTATGACTGGATGTTAAATAAGGAACGGATGAAATGATCTTTAAGGAATGTTAAATTCAATGCAATGGAACAGAACAGGAATATTTTTCCAATGTATTGCTTTAGATGACAGGAAGGTGTTTTTTTAAGTGAATATTAGAAGGAAGCACATCTCCCATCATATATGATCTCTACTGTCCATAACCTTGCATTATTTTAAGAAATCAGTTTCATAAAACAAAGGAAATGGTGACTTATGTTCAGTCCCAAAACCACCCTCATAAAATGCCATACATTTAGCAAGAGTGCTTATTCAATAAGCCTCATTGTTCCTGAAGGCTATGTTTATATTATGGTTTCATTTTAATTCTAAATGAATAAAAAAATTATTACAAGCACTTATGGCTTATAGGAGAAAATTCCCAGGATTATTTTTCCTTTGACCAGAAAATTGTCCTGTGTGGAAAGTGACTGAAGTCTTATACAAGGTACTCAGACTTACTTCTGAATACATGTGTATGCTGTAACTTATTAATGGCATCAAGAGTCAATTTTCAATTGTCATGGTATAGTGCTTTCCTTCTCCAATTTAGTGCCTTTCAGATGGTTCAGGTTATGTCTTGCATCACAAGGGGATTATCCAGAATCTTTGTCTTTAACTATAATTTTCTTCCTTCATTTGACATCAGTTTCACTAACATACTACAAAATGAGAGCTCTAAGCTACTGTTCTGATATACCGTATTTTTCGGAGTATAAGATGCACCTTTTCTCCCCCAAAAAGAAGGTGAAAATCTGGGTGTGTCTTATATAGTGAATTCAGCATTTTTGGCCTCCCCAAAACCCTGCCTGTGCATCCCATTTTTCAAAAACATTGATGCGCAGAGGGTTTGGGTGGCCTGCCAAGTGCTCCTGGGGGTTTGGGAGGGCAAAAATGAGCAAACAATGGGCCCCTTTTAGGCAAAAAATGAGGCATGCAGAGGGTTTGGGAGGCCTGTAGAATGCTCCTGGGGGGCTGGGGAGGGCAAAAACAAGTGGAAATGGGCCAGTTTTTCACACNGCTCTTACTCCTCTGGAATGCATCACCCCTCTTGGGAATCTAACCCATTAAATTCCAGAAACAGAAATATATACAAAACAACAAAGGTACCCCAGAACTGTAACAATAGCATGGGACCTAAGGTTGGACAGAGTTATTAGATTCCATGAAATGATAAACCCTAAAATGAAATATTTATGGATAAATACACAAAGAAAGGATTGATTTGTTGATGTTCACCTTGTATCTCTAAGTGACGCAGATACAACAAATGAGCATGAGAATGATAACAGTATTGACAAGAATTCAGAAAGGAGAAATCCTTACCTGGAAATTCTGCCATATTACCTGCATGATGAGGGCAATGACAAATATGGAAGCATCAGGGAAAAACAATAGCTGAAATAAGTTTAGGTTTCTAATGCTGAAGTTCTCAACATCAGCACCAGAAAAAAATATTGAAGTAAAAAAAAAAAGAAACAATAGCAACAACATGAGTATGGATATAAAAAACAAGCAAAAGTATTGTCGAATTATGTGTCTTAATATAATGCTTGTTATAGAAAAAAAAGATTTGTGCTGATGTATCCTATTATGCAAATAAGAAGTCCAACAGTGATACATATGGAAGTGTTTACCGCTTTTATTGGTTCAAGAATTAAGGACAGGGATGATTTCTCCCACCAACCTCTTTTCTTACAATCAATTCCATTTTTTTACTTAATCGCAATAAGAAAAAAAACATTGGCACACTTCTTAATAGTGGTCATACCAACCAGGGTTCCTATTTAACTGAAATGTATCCTACATTGTAAGAGTTTAATGAGAACAATTATTTGAGAAAGACCTAGTATTGGAGACCTTATTAAGAGCTACCCAGAGTTTTAGATAGACATTATCACAAAGCCTTTCCTGAATAATAGCTTAGAAACAGAGCCAGCTTCTTAATATTATCAACATTTCTACCCATATTAATTACCACCTGTCAAAGTAGTTAAAATTTTAGCAAAATTGTTTCCTGAAACCTTAGAAAAGGCTATATTTCAATATAGATGCTTTGCTTTATGTAATTTTTTTATATTGATTTATAATAAATTTGTACATTACTTCATTTGTTTCTTGCAGAAGAAGAAGAAAAAATAATAAATGTTCCATTGCCCAATTTCACATTCCAACATGCAAACAGAAAATCTGTGCAATTATTTAAAATCTTTTAGTTTAAACTGACTATGGACCTACCAATCTGGCTGGTGGCCACAATACTTTTATATTTTGGGTGTTGGTTGACTGTTAGGCAGAGGATGTCATCTGTATGTTCCAGGTAGAAACTTTGACTTCCTGTGCAGTTCAAAAGAAAAAAAGGATTAATTTTTAAATATCCAATAAACAAAAACTATAAAAGCAGGACATTTTCAGATCAGTCTATTTCACAAAATCAATTCATCTAAGAATAGTAATATTTGTATTATATATTATATTTGTACAAAGTAGCTGAAACACAATGTAAAGACAGTGTTAGATTCTTAAAATAAAAAAAAACTGCTTAAGATTTTGCTAATTATCTCTCGAAACCCAGCATGAAGGTTGCCATACCTGGTGGGGTGGAGGAAACAATGTGGATGGCAGCCGGGGGCTTCAGTGGCAGCAATTACATCTGCTCATGCCAGGCACTAATATACATCCATAATTTCCTTAACAATTCAGTTCCAAAGCAAGACTGTGCTACATATACATGAGGATTTCAAGCAAACAACCACTGCCAACTTCATAGATATTGTCATTGATATGCAACAGTACTAAACCACAATGGATCAATAATATCATACAACATGATAGCAGATGAAAAGGAACGTATACAGGTAATCCTCAAATTACAGTCACAATTGGGACCAGAATTTCCATTACTAAGCAAGGCGGATATTAAGTGAGTCATGCCTAATTTTATGACCTCTTTTGCCAAGGTTGTTAAACAAAATTGTTAAGTGAACCACACAGTCATTAAATGAATTTTATTTCCCCCATTGACTTTGCTTGTCAGAAGCTGGTTGGGAAGGTAGCAAATGACTATCATATGACTTTGGGACATTACCAAATCCCTCAATTTTAATCACATGACTATGGGATTCTGTGACAGACTTAAGTGTGATGATTCATTGTAAGACACTATTTTCAGTGCTATTGTAACTTTGAATGGTCTCTAAATGAAAGATTGTAAATTGAGAATTGCCTATATCTCCCTTTATTATTCTAATCCCATAATTGATGTCTGGTGCTTGCAGGCCATTCTGTTTGCTTCCATTACAAATATATACCTAATGCTGAAGAAAACAGCGAAGATTATTCTTACAAATGCTTTACATATCCAAAGGAATTCACACAGTGCTTTCATTTGAACACCTTGGCATCTAGTACCTAACCTGTTTGTTTTTCCAACCAAGGCAACTGGCAATTTTATTTTTATTTTAATTACCTGTTGAGAGATTTTGAACTATGCATGCTGCTGCAGTATGGAAAATAATATCAGCACCATCATTGAGGTAATGAAGGTTATTGCGGCAATCAAATCCACGATATCCAAAGACATGATCTAAACACAGTTCCTGGAAATAAAAGGAAGGAAAAAAGGAAGGAAGGAAGGAAGGAAGGAAGGAAGGAAGGAAGGAAGGGTCATAGACACATTTAAGTGTACTCATTTTTGCAGATGAAGAAAGCCATTGCTTAATTAAAAAATAAATAAATTCTAAACAGTTTTGATGCTGTGTGTGTGTGTTTGTGTGTGTAGAATGTGAACATGGTAATTTCAATCAATGAACAAAGAAAGGCAAAGGCTATATTTAAAACTCCAACTTAAAGATATAAAGTTTCAAAGCATTAATTTAAAATATTCTCTTATGAAGCATACTTAAATCACAATACAAGCAATAGAATATCAGAAAATATGGATAGTTTAGATGACAATACTACATTAATTTATTACAGAATTTACTCTTCTGAAAATAAATTGTTCCTTGGTTGTATCATTCCGGTTACTTTTTATATAATTATATTTATATAATTTACCTATATTTACCTTTACAGTATATACCTACATTTAATCCCATGTACCAGGTATAGGATTAAATTTAATCCCCTGTACCAGGCAACACAAGCATTAACAGGCTGTGCCAATTAACAGATTTGGCTAGCTTGTTAACATACCAACATACATTAAAATTGATAAAGTTTTAAAAACTATAAAATTGGTGGGATTGAAGCAATAAGCATCAAATGAATTATTTGTAAAATAATAAAGGCAGGATATAAATAAAAAAATTATTAAAAGTAAACCGATATTAGAAAGAATATTAAAATATCAAAGTATTAAACCTGACCTCAACCACTTTCTTTTTTTTGTTGATATTATTCTTTTGTAGTTTCTCGGGTTGAGGAGCAGCTCTGCTGACTGGTGGCCTGAAAAAAAGTGTAAGAAAATAATGGATAATCGCCTGTGAATGGAAAGAAATGCCTTTTATGGGCCATTCCTTATTTCTGAGTTGCTCTAACCATCCTTGAATATGCTGGAAAATGTCCCAGCATGAAATATGTTTTAGAAGGTCCTACTATGGTCTCCTATCCTGCCGTAATTGATTTTTGTTCCTGTTATTGTAGTTCCCTCCAAGGAATGAGCAATTTAAGATGCCGGAAGATGCCGTTAGCATAATGGGGAAAACACTATTTTTATTTCAGTGCTGCTAAGGATGATTTAAACTTCTTTTACTCATGGGTTAAGAATGAGATTGAGTCACCGGGATCCAGAAGAAAAAGAATGCTAGCACTATAGACTTGTGGTTTGTGTTAAATGTAAATATGAATTATTCCTAAATAGTAATTGGAGAATATTAACAAGGTACATCTTTGGTGATATGAGCATCTGTGTCCATATTGTTGTTGTCAAGCACTTAGCATAGAATGACAAGATCACTGAGTCTGAAATGAATGTTCATGCTATTTCAAATATTCAAAAACAGATCATGCCAGACAAATCTTATTTCATTCTTTGACAATGTGACAAAATTAGTGGACCAGAGAAATTCTATGGTTATAATTTACTTGGACTTCAGTAAAGCATTTGATAAAGTAGACCACAACCTACTACTTTACAGATAGAAACCAATTTTGCTTAAAAATAGGTTTCTCCATGGATTTAGTCCTAAATTTCACAGCCATTGCTGCAACATTATTTTGAAATTAAAGCCATGAAGATACTAATTAAGGATAGGAGGTCACTTATATTGTCTTCTGTAGTCATCCAACCACCAGTGTGCTATTGCAACTGTAAAGAGCATAAGCTTCATATCACTTCAACAGTGACTGGATGATGCCAAATGACATTAGAAATCTGACCTGGGCTAGTTAGAAGCAAGTTGTTTTTTTGTTTTTTGTTTTTTTTTACTTTGGAGTGAGTTTAGTTTTCAGTTCAACAAAGACACAACTTTTTCCTTTGCTCTGATCCTCTCCAGTTTAAAAACGATCTTTAACACATTGCAGTTGAGGAAAAAGTTAAAATATCTTTAATGAAATCACAATTTTGTGGTGGGAAAGAGTGAAGAGTGTATATAGCATATATTTCCTGCTAGCAGTTGTCTGGATTATTCTGCCCAGTTTTAGTAATCCTAATTATGTCCAAATCATAGCAAATGGGACATTTTAAAAAAACTAATAATAGTACTAATAATAATGTTTTGTTTTAATATAATATCTATTCAGAGTATTTAATTATTTATTTTGATGTTGGTATTAGCAAGAGTACTAATAGGAACAAATTACAAAAAAACAGAAATCTCTTGTTTTGGGAGTAATTCAAATACTAATTATACCAATCCATTCAACCATAAAATTAACTATAAAGGCATAAACCATCTGGTTAGCTTTAAACATGTTCCAATTTTGTTACTCAGTTATTCAAGCTATTTTATAATGTATAAGTTATTATATATAAATAAATTGGAATTAAACATATATCTAAAATCTTTTAGTTTCATATTATTAAAACCAAATTCTATGAGATTCTTAATGTACAGCAAAACCAATTTCATGATATTTTATCCTCAACTTACAACCATAATAGAATCCCACATTTC